GTGCTCTATGGAAGTAATTTGTTTTTTAGGAGTTGAAATAAAATGAGGCTTAAGATTGGAAAAATCATTTAATAATAATTTTAAAGAATTTCATTTAAAATGAAGATTCATCTTAAATAATTTCTTTACAAAAAAGATGCCCATTCGTTATCTCAAGTTTAGAATAAGTCTAGATCTGCCTAAAACAGCGCAATTAGCATAAAATATTTCAGAAGTATGCAAAATATATTTACAATACGCATGTGCAGATTAAATTGACGCTTATTTGTTTGGCAGCCATGTATGCATTTCAATCACTTCTATCACTTAGCATGTATTGGACAGCTAAACTTCAGTAAGGATTTACTAAAGATATTTAAATCTTAGGTAAGATTTTGTAGGATATTTTTACACTGCATTTCCTCTCGTATTTTACAGATACAGGGCAGTTAAAATTACATCCCTTAGACCCCATAATTTGATAATAAGTGGCCATTTTGTAATGACGATCGAAGGCATATTAACGTTTTTTTTTAATTTTTAAACGCCTTTGGTAGAATGTTGTGTTAATATCAGTAATTGCGAAAATGTCTGTTTCATTATATGGTGTATTTGAGTGAATCAAAAGTGATCAGACACATAATTTCCAGCCTTTATACCAAGAAATAGTCTTCGATAATATACTTTTACGACAGATCACGTGTTTGTGACCAAAAAATAAAAGTCTTGCAACATATCTCATTGCTATCATGATCCACTAAAACGTGATGTTGAAAACACTGCAACATCATTTTCAAACATATGTAAATTTTCCTATTTTGGAAGATCAGTTAAATACATAGAGGTTATGCTAAATAAATTTGTTATAAAATTTAGAATGTTTAGACTAGACGTTGAAAAAGTCTTTCAAAAGCTAAAAAAAAATAGTTTCAAGCAATTTTCTTTGTTAAAATGGATGTTCATAATATATTAGTAATTATGCAGTGCTCTTGATTGATTATTATTCAACATTGGGGAAAAATCACTCAACACAAAAGATACACATTTAAGCAACATAAAATATAATGAAATGAAACATATGGAGATTATAACAGTATTCAAGTGATTTTTCAGTGATTTTTTCCCTGCCGACCGGTCATACCAGCCGTATTTTTTATGGAAATATCTAGTTCTGAATGATAAGTCAGAATTTATTTTATTTGCACTTTTCTGAAAGAACCCTGATATTATAAATGTCGTTTCTTAATTGTAAAAACTGCAGGAAATGTTGGCTTTTGAAGACATCATTTAAAAATCATTTTACCTGAATTGAATACATCATTTATATATGCCTCTTGTACTAAAACTTAAAGCAATATGAGCTGCATTTTTGAGAATTTTATTTTGTTGGTAAAATGTGCTATTATGATTAATCTGTATGTAATCTAAACCCTTATGATCAATAAAACCCAGTATAAATAACAAAATAACAAAAAAAAAATGTTTACAAATTGAACTCTAATTTCATGAAATTAGAGTTCAATTTGTAAACATTTTTTTTTTTTGTTATTTTCATGTCTTGTTTCGGCACCATATATGCAAGCTGTTCGGCGAGCAGCTCGTTTTTCTCCCACCCACCAAACCCAATTTTGCTTCCATTTAAAGTAGCTTTTCTTTTTAGCTGCACTGCCTTTTGTATGTTTGGTAATTTTTGTAATAGTGTGTATGGGTTTTTGTAACTATTATTTTTCTCATATTTCTTTAATCATGTTTTACGTGTATATGCGTTTGATGTATTTTTGTCAATAAATTTTACGCCACTTTGATTACTTGTTCTATTAGTAAAAGGACTTGAGTCAAAGCATGTATTGAGTATGAATGCACTTAGGGCAGTACTGCATGATTGTTTAAGTTAAAATAAATACAATATTCATACACATAGTCACCATACAGTTTTAAGCTAATTTGTGGAATAAATTACATTCAACATGTATTCAGAAGTAGCTTTGTATTACTATATCAGAAAACTATTCATCAACCAGTATAAAATTCAAAAAAATATATTGAACACAAGATGCAACCTGTTATATACAACACATTGAACACAAGATACAATCTTTTATTTTTCGATAAACATCCCCATAAAGGAGTTGGATGAATATTTCAATCTCTGAACACTTGTTGAATAAAAAGTGTTTAAAAGCACAAGAACGTTAAGATGATTACAAAAAAAGGGGCTGCCCCCCTCATATAAGGGGCCAAGAAGGGCCAAAGTTCGAATTTATGACTATTTAATGTTCAATACTTTTTAAAAACATTACAGCAGTAAAATCGTATTTCTTTAACAATATTATTTTAAAAGAAAATCTCAATCAAAATTTCATTTCATCTCATCAAGAATCGGACGGAAGACCCACTCGTTGCTCGCAACGAGATCGTATCTAGTTATTATTATTATATGATTATATGAAGGATACCACATAAATATCTGTCTATCAGCATATTTCTCTGTCGCTCGTAACACCAAAGATGCAAAACGTTACTCTGCATCGCATACTTTAAAGTAGAAATTGTTGTTTCTATTGAAAGTTCATATTCTTAGGTTCTTGGGAAGTGCAGCTTAAATCATGTTGACTACTTATCTCTGTGATACGAGTGTATGATTGGAGCAGCACTTTTCACCGTCTGGAGATGATTTAGATGACTATTATTACAAATAGAAATTAATTATCCTCGGGGTAGCGTTGAACTCTTCTTCATTAAGTCTTTTTTTTTAGGTCACCTGAGTAAACTCAGGTGACCTATTGCTATCCGTTTTCGTCCGTCGTCGTTCGTCGTTCGTCGTGCGTCGTGCGTTAACATTTGAACATTTTCAGCTTCTTCTCTGCAACCACTCAACCAATTTCAACCAAATTTGGCACAAAGCATCTATGGGTGAAGAGAAACATAAATTGTGAATTTCACGATCCCTACCCCCCTGGGGCCTGAGGGGTGGGGCCAAAACCACTAAAATTAGTGCAATCTTCAAAAATCTTCTTCTTTACTCCTGGACATCAAGCAGTCAAACTGTTTGCATGATTGTAATTAGCAATGAGTCCTCTAATAAAATTGTGAAATTCATGGCCCTGGGGCCAGGGGTTCTAGTGCTAGGGCGGGGCTAAATACGTAGGTAGTGAAAATGCATTATTTCTTTGAAAATCTTCTTCTCTGCTCCTGGGTATTAAATAAACCAACTAAGTACATAGTTATGATGAGCAAGAGTGCCTCTACCAAAATTGTGAATTTTATGAACCCAGGGTCAGGGGTTCTGGTGTTAGGGCGGGGCTCTATTGGTTATATAATGAAAATACATGAAATCTTTGAAAATCTTCTACTCTGCTCCTGGGTATTAAATAAACTAACTAAGTACATAGTTATGATAAGCAAGAGTGCTTCTACCAAAATTGTGAATTTTATGGCCCCAGGGTCAGGGGTTCTTGTTTTAGGGTGGGGCTCTATTGATTATATAGTGAAATGCATGGATTCTTTGAACATCTTATCCTTTGCTCCTGGTTAATATGCTAATGATCTAATTACATATTGAAGGCCAGGATTTATTCTATTTTCAGTTTTACAAACCCTCCGCTCCAGATTTTGAATTTTCAGAAAAAGATAAAAAAAAATTTCTTTCCGATGTCAAATTTGAGTCGGGATCAAGATATCAAATTTACGAACTCGCACTTCCGGTTTTCTGAAACGGCGGGTAAATAAAGCTAGATCTAGATAGCTTGGTTTAGTGTAAAATTCATCGATAAGAGTGCCATTCAAAACGTTTCCCCGTTCAAAGGACAAATAAAATGCTGACGACTTTGTTGCACAATGACATGCTGGTGAGATAATTATGTATTCGTTTCAAAAGTAACTGTAAATTTTTTTCCCTCCCCCATGTTTTAAACTGCCCGTGGTAGCTATTGCATATTGCCAGGGACATTGTTTAGGTCTCTGTTATAGCTTACAGTCTAAGCATCATTCTTCAGAAAAGGGTTGCTTATGCATCAGATGTAATGAATAAAACTATGGGAGAAGTGAAGTCCATTTGAGGAAGAAATAAACAATAACCTGAAGAAATTAAAAAAAATTCAACTATTAAAAGGCAAGAATATACAAATATATACAGGCATGTAGTATCATTTGTATCAGCCAGAAAAATTATTTTACACTTAATTGAAAAAATGTTGACTCTACTCCCCAATACTCCCTGTCTGTTTTATGATAGGAATTATAATTTTAGGCATCAAGTAAATTTTAGAACAATGTCTACACATTCACCTAACACATATTAAAAAAATGAAGATATATTGAAAGACTTTTAAAGAATTGATTTTTTAAAATATACTTTGATCAACATCACAAAATTTATATAACTGGCCCAAACTGGCAGATGATGAAATAAGCAATTAAATGTTCTACTTTCCTATTTGTAAGCATTATGTGTCCAGTGGTAAGGAGCCTATTAGGAATGCATAAAAAAGAATGTACAAATGTTAATAATTGATTTATCAAAAAAAAAAAATTATTTCCTTCTCCCTTGGAACATTTTTATTCTCATTTTCATAACTAAACCTAAACATAAAAACTAATGCTGGCTTTATAATGAAGAAAGGGGCCTCTTTCAAATTAGATAATTTCAAGGCTGCTGGGTCAGGGGTACCGGGGGGGGGGGGTACTTTGACTAAAAATAAATTAATGCTTTGAAATCTGCCCTTTGATAAGCAATGGTGCCTCTTTCAAAATTTGTGAATTTCACGGCTTTTGGCTTAAAACACGAACCAAATACAACCGCTGGAAAGTTGTTACATGATACTCAGGTGACCTATAAGGCCCGTGGGCCTCTTGTATTTATAGATGTTGCATGATTAACTCGCAGTGGGATACATTCTTTTGTCTCAGACGCATTGAAATATTAGATAATAATAATACACGTTTATTTTTTTTGACTTTTTATTTTCATCAATGGTTGTGTATAACAAGTGTAAATTACCATTTAAAGTGCTTATGGCAACATTCCAAACCCCCGTTGTCGTCGAATTCAGTTTGGCTCCTGTACCGAGGTCATTTTCTTAGGTGAGAAACTGTGTTACATTTTATTTTTTTTTTGCCTTTTCGTTGTGAACGATTTCAAAGCCATATTGATATTATTTTTCAAAACATGGCAGGAATCTCGATAAATTTCAATCTAAGAATGAGGGAAAAAATCTTAATTTTCCGTTGTAAGGTATATCAGTAGGTAACAAGTCGTTCAAACTGTTAAGAAAAACTGTATTAAGAGTTACAGTCTGTATATCAAAATTGATTCAATTACATGTACTTATAAACAATCACTGCTAATTATAGAGTACATCTTACTACAGAAGTCAATCTACACTTATAAAACCAATGAACTTTTAAAATTAACTAAGAAATGTGTGCACAAATGTTTATATATGCGTCTGAATTATTACAGCAGATAATACCCGGTAGGTTATGTCCTTAATCTAAATTCTAAAGATTTCTTTTCGTAAATATAAGTAAAAGTTTATTTTACAGCAGTGAAGAAGCAAAATTATCATTTTGTTATTTTATTGAAACGTTAGGGAGTTATCTCCCTTGTTGTATGTTGTATAATCAATAAATTATTGTAAATAATGTAATTAACAAGTTATCTGATTAATTGCCTCTACAACAAAATATATCATATAAATAAAAAAAACCACAAACACAAAACTTTTGTTAAGATAGCAAAGTATGCTCGAAAATTGAGAGATACGTATTCCCGCACTTATAATCATTGATATGAAGATTTTATAAGTAAGCAAATGGCCGGTGGTTCCAGTGTAGGACGCTTGGGATCAAGTTGTTGGAGAAAGAAGTGTTGGTGGTGACAGTTGTAAGGTTAAGGGCCCATATTTACAACTGTTGAACTAAATAATGTAGCTGAAACAGTGTACATTGAGCTTTCTAACCAGTTCACGAGTTAGTACGAAGTGGAATATATACAGCCAAGGTGGTATAGTATTACCAAGTGACATTTGTTTAGCCAAGTGGCGTTGGTATAGCGAAGTGGCAATTGGCGTTGGTATAGCCAAGTGGCAGGGATTTCTGAACAGATTGTTTAATTTTACACTAGGCAAGTGTCTTCCATATTTGTATATATTGCATTTTATCGGTATATTTTTGTATATATTGCATTTAAAGTAAAGGGCTACTCGTGGTAAACCGGAAGCTGGATTTTGCCGTTTTCGGTTTAGAAAATTATGGTACATATATCATTAGCAAAATTGTCGACAACGTCTACAGAAATGTTGAAGGGGTGTAAAAAGATGACTGAGGGTATTTTTGTGCAAGGATTGAGATTCATATAGTATGTAGCAGAAAATTGAATTGATTTAAATTAAAAGCGCGAGGTCAAAAGCCGGACATGCATTTCAGATGCGGTATATTTTTTTGCCTAAGAGGTTATAGTGACACTAGACGTTTATGATTGCATTGGGGTATATCTCAAATATTTCTGATACCTATGTACAGAAAACATGGTGAATAATTAGCTATTATGTCATTAAATAAAACTTTCTGTTTATTGTTTTCATTTATACACAATTTGTATGCTCTGTAGATGGGATTTTCCTACTTTCGTTTTTGACGGCAAATTTTCTACATACGAACTCAGGTAAAAACCAACAACACATGTTACTAATGATTTAGACAATTTTGCTGGAAAGACATTTTATATATTGCTTATAATTGTTATACCCCTCGCTTGAAAAGCGGGAGGGTTAACCCTAATGTAGATTTTCCAAAGGGTTTGGAAAAGTTTTGGAATTCCATGGAATTCCATTCGTTTCCATACTAAAGTCGAAAAGTGTGTCTGGAAGTTTTTGGAATATTTTGGAACTTGAAAAAATAAATGGACTTAGACATTTTTTGCTTTGGAAAGTAGTGGAATTCTTTGGAAAAAATGATAAAATGAGAAACTTAGCCATTTTCTGCTCTGGAAAACTGTGGAAAATTACTTAGAATTTTTTTAACTGTCGACCAATAGTACAATAACATCGGGATCGAAGTCGGGCTCGATGAACAATTAATTTAAACAACAAGCCGAAATTCAAAAATATCGAATGTCATGTTGATGTTGCACAGAAGGAAAGTTGGAAAGAGAGTGTCTAGAACAGGGGAATCTTGATTAGCTTTAGATGGAAGAAGATGAAGACATTTTAAGACCCGGTAGGTACAATATTGTACAGTATTTTATGTGTCCTTGAATGAAGAACGCTTCTGCTACCTGTTCATTTATAGTCTGGGCACCACACAGTCACACATAAACTGCCTAACGGTGAAATCGTTATTGCACTATTTCAATTTTGTAATAATTATTTAAAAACTCTAAACATCTCATTAAGATCATGGATTTTAACCCGAATGTCCTCGTTTGGGATCGAACTTGTGTAAAGAATTTTACCTATATGTTCCTTTGTTCAAGTCAAGATAACATTTACAGAGTATGATGTACAATGTAATTAATTATATTTATTATAAGGCGTGTTCATGATAATTTTCAGCTCTTATTTTAATTATTTTATAGCTGTTGCTGCATTGTGCCTGAGATGATCCCCTCAGCGCTGGCGTTTGATAACTTGGTGGATGTAGATGCTTAGCCAGTCAGTCTCTAGGCTTGTGAATATGGTGAGAACGAGCTCAAATTATCGCTCAATCCAAGTTAACTAACTCTGATTTTATTAATCCATGTCTATTAGCATAATAATGTGTTCTACGGTGCGACCGTTGGGGGCGAGCGCAGTTATTTACTTTCAAAATCCTTTATACAGATTTTACTTGCACTGCCTATCCTCAGTTGAACAGAATAACAAGTCAATTCCCACTTCCCAGGCACTGGGATAGAGATTCTGAATTTTTCGGAAGCTTCCTACAAAATCCGAAATACCTGAGCCGTTTAAGTGACGAAAGTATGACGTCAAATAAAAAGTCCTGTTGACTCTTCACCGCAAAGGATTATTGGGAGTTTGGAATTCTTTCATGCTGTGAGATAAAAATTTCTTGGAACGACGTGAAGATTTCAACCCAAATTTCCTCCATTCATACACGTTATAGTATATTGAGCTCGCTACACGACGCTCGCTGCGCTCGCTATTAAAAAAATTATTGCAACTTTGCCAAGGAAACAAAATTTAAAGGTTTATATTCTTAACACGCTTAAATTCCTTATTCAAATAATTAATAACAATGCATTCTGACAGGTAATGTAAACATGAAAACTGCACAGACATGCCTAATTACTTTAGATCAAATAGCAATCATCTAATATGAAGTATACATGCACTTTACAGGAATCCAGGTGCTCACAAGGACAAGAGGTGTATGAAAAGAAAAACATAAAGGTAAGATTTCTGAATTATTTTCTAAATCAATAAAATCACATGAATTGAAATTATCTTTTTCAGTGTTAGTCAGGCATTGAGCTTGAGCTCAAACCTTTTTGTTTTAGCTTACCTGAACCATTTTAAGGCCTAAGTGAGTTTTTTGATCAGTGCCTGATGTTGTCTGTCATCTATAAACTTTTCACATTTATACATTCATCAGAATTAATCCTAATTTGAACAAAAAATTGCAAGATAGTGAATTAATTCATATTCCATAGTAAACTGATTTGCCAGGTCAAAAAAAATCAATTGTTTTGTATAGCTTTTGTTTATTGTTTGTCATATATTTATATGGATATCAATAATGATGCATCTTAATGGTCATCTTTTTCTTTCAGAAATCGTGTAAGGATCGAAAGTTTGAAGTGTCTGTTGGAATGATCAACATCGAACTTTCTGAGCTTTCGTACTGAAAGTGAATCCGTTCGTGACACCAATTAACTGTCAACCTTCTAACATAACCATTTACTAATTTCATAGAATATCAGTGAGGAAGTGCATGATTCTCTAGCAAACACGTCAGAAGTTTTGGATCTTCATTAATTGGGATCTTTGGCACGTACGTTGAGGAGAAATATCATCTGTTGATTTTATGGGATCATTGTATCAATATAGTTGTGTAGTACATATTTTTTGCATGTAATACATGTGTTTGTCACTCTAGTCAATAACTTTGTACCAGTACATAAGCATGAAAAGCCACTGGCAGTTCATTGTAAATGTATACTTTGTTGAGGTCTCAATGACTATTCCAATTCCATAGCTAATTTCATTTATTAAAACTTACTTCTTATTTTAGGAAATGCAGACTGGAGTTTACTAAATTCATGTATATCATAACATGATTATCATTAATTTGACCAAAATGACTGATTCTCCGGTAATCATATTTTCTCTGTAAATAACCTTTAATGTAAAATACTCTCCGTGAGAGTATTTTATGAAAGTGTGCTTATATTGTACATCTGAGAGTTATATCATATGCAATATTTGTCTCAAAAAACATTGTAAAAGAAACAATTAATTTTTTATTTTGAAAATATAGATTTGATCTATGAAACATTGTGATGTTATCGATTTTTTTTTGTAATTATTTGGCACTAATTATTTCAGTTTTCTTTGTACATGTATTTGGAATCCTGGAATTCCATGGATTTCCATGGAATTCCTTAGATTTACAAATATCCTGGAATTCCACGGATTTCCTCCGCAAATTTCCATTCTGGCATTGTTCCGCTCTTTTCCAGGCTAGATTCAAAATTCCAAATCATTCCGAAAAAAGTTCCGTCCCAATACTCCGGAGAATTCTAAAGAATTCCGCGGAACAAAAATTCCATGGAATTCCATGGAATATGCTTTGGAATTCCATGGAAGTTGCGGAAAATCTACATTAGGGTATATAGTAATCGTTAATTCCGTCCGTCCGTCTGTTACGCTTTGGGGTACCCATCTCTTATCCTCAACTCCTCTTAAACCACTGAGTGAATTTAATGAAACTTTCACAGAATCTTCATTACATATTGCCATTGTGCACCTCCTATTTTATTTTTTGATCTGACAAATATTTTGGGTTTCCCGGCCACCGCAAAACATGGACTTTGCCATTATAATCATATGGGAGGCGGGGGGTATCATTTAGTGAGCTCATTGCTCACAGTACCTCTAGTTTTATAAGTAGTAATAAGCATCCCGGAAAGTCATCAGATCATCAGTAGTGGACATATCCACAGTATATAATGAATAAAGAATTAAATTGAGAATAAAATTTATGTTTGTGGTTAGGAAAGGGTGTGTAAATAATGATAAAATTGTTCTTAAAAGGAATATTTCACTTTTAAGCTGATTTATATATATCTTTGTCAACATAAAAGGCTTGAGCTATTGAACTGCAATGGGGGTACCTGCATGTTTTACCCCATATCTCAGTGAAATAACAGATGACCAATAAATGTATCATGCCTAAAGGATACTTCAAGCATTGGTTGCTATAAATAAAGACAAAAAATCAGGGTAAACAAATTAATTATTCTAATAGAGAGCTTTTTTTTCTATTTTGAGCTCTGTTACTTTATTAGTAAAATCAGATTAATTCTTCAACATTTACGTAGTTTTAAGCAGAAATGTGTACCTTAGCCTGAAATTATTAAATATTATCCTTATCCTTGTAATTTATGTTCAAAAGTATTTATTTGCCATGTGCTATGACATAGAATGTAGACAGTCTTTATAACAGTGATCATTTTGTTTTTTCTACAAGAGGGTACATGAGTGTTTCACACCCTGTCTCAGTAAAATATCGATTATCTATCTACTTTTTGTGCTTTTGAAGTAGATAAAGTATCTATTAATGTAAACCAGGACAAAAATTGCACCGTTATCCAATTAATTCCACGAGTAGGGTAGGTTACATTATCAGTTATGATGATTTTATCAAGTTCTTTGAAGATAAATTCATTTGGTCTTGGAAAAAAGTTTCCAAGTGTGACAAGATACAAAAGAGAAGAAGTTTCAATATCGCCAATTCAGTAGCGTAAATTCCATATAGGCAAGAAACTTAAGGCTGTAGCCTACACATTATTTTCTAGGGAATAGAAAGACTGAATATATTGGCAGGAGTTCACTTTCAAAATCGATCTACGACACTGGAAAATAAATAATCATTCTGTGCATACATGTACCAGGTGTAACATGTACATATCCCCTTATTTCCATACATATTCCCATACTCTCACACAGACGAAAAGGTGTTTGGAGTTTGAGCAATCACACTTCTGGTGTCGTCAATTCTCATTCATATGACAAGAAAAAAAATAGTAACCTGTACCCTTCATCTTGAATATGAATAGTCTTTTCTTCATGGACATGAAAATAAACATTTTTAATGGAAAAAATAATCGCATTTTACCCCTTAATTAGCTTCTCAGAAAATCAAAAGAGCGTCTCCTAAGTCAAACCAGATGTAAAATAAAAAAAAATCATAGAGAGTTTTCAAGGGAGTGCATCATGTACATGAACTTTAAAATACAGACCTATTCAAACGCCAATATTTATGTATTTAAAATGAAAAGGACTCATAATAAATAGTAATGCATATTTCATTGTAAATAATGTTTGACCAAGTGAATCTTTTTTGTTTAGATTTAGCCTGCCTTCTTCTTAAATCGGAAGAACGATGCATTTGCTGTAAGTTTTCTACTTTTTCTTTTGTTTTATTACATTAGGATATCTTATTCTGTGTGCCTATATAAAAGTTTTTATTCGCCGTTCACTTAATTGTTTTAAGATTTATAATTTTTTTTAAAGATTCGTCAACACCAGTAAGGTGTCACGACCTGAGGGTACCACTGAATTCCCATCCACTACATTTACCCCGGAACCAGTTACAGTAACAGTTGAAGTGGACAGACAACCCATAATCTTCGTCATTGTAATTTCTCTGGCAGTGTTTGTTACTCTTTTTTCATTTACTGCCCTTAAACTTTGGCTACGTCGCAAAAAAGGTAATACATTGACTTGCAAAATAAAATTGTGTTTCAATCAACATTAGGAAGAAAATCATTACATGAAACAATGTTAACTTTAGTTCCCTTTCTGTTAGCTTTTCTGTTCTTAATAGAGGGCGTTCATTTGATTTTCTCTCCGTATTTTCATGAAAGATACACCAAATATAAAGGCTTAGACAAACCTCAAGAGCCTATGGCAAAGCTAATCTGGAATTTTCACTACATGGAGATTCTGAATGTTAATATGAATGGTTATATGGTGTTGGTTCATATTGTTAAGTAAACAACTTTTCATTTTAAGCCATTCACATACTTATTTAAGAGTTTATTTTAAAAATGTGTACCAATTGAAAATAATTATGCATTTCACACATTTTAAATGCTCAAATGTACGTGTTATTGTAACATGTTGTAAATTTTGAATTTATTAGGGTGAGAAAGGTGCAGTATTTGTTGTAAATTTTGCATATAACCTCCCCCCTCCCCTAAATTCAAAATTTATACGGTCATAGTAATTTATGTATACTGTTCAATCCATTTTATTAATATTAATAAAATGTATAAAATATGCAGAAAATATTGTAAAACTTAATATTTGAATAATTTTATTTTTTAGCCCCTGTTGAACAATCAGAAGTGTTTTTGCGTAAGTATGAAAACAACAGTTCCAAAGTTATAACAGTTACTAAAGTAAATCAAAGTTCCAAAGTTTTCACCATAGTAAATCAAAGTTCCAAAGTTTTCGCCACAGTAAATCAAAGTTCCAAAGTTTTCACAATAGTTAATCAAAGTATCAAAGTTTTTGCCGTAGTAAATCAAAGTTCCAAAGCTATTCCTATAGTAAATCAAAGTTTTAAATTTAAATCAAAGTTCCAAAGTTTTTACTATAGTGAATCAAAGTATTAAAGTTTGTATTTTGTTTTATTATGTTTTCTTTTTATTATTAGTCTGTTTTTAAGGGGGTGATATTGATTTGTTTAGGCTGGTTTCGTTGTTCATCTTTATTTAAATATGCAAAGTTATTAATTTAAATGCAATATTCACATTTAACAATAAAAAATGTTATCTGAAATTAAGGAAGCAAAAATTTTGATTCTAAATGATCTTATTGATTTATTCCCCATAAATATTGCTTATTTATCTGTGCAAGAGACAAGTTTTTTAAACGTTCTCTGAAACTTTAATAAATCTTATTCTTGAAATTAAATAAAATATAAAAATATAAAATGGGAAGCAAAAACATAATTCCAAAGGTTTTATAGTACCTTATCAAAGTTCCGAAGTTTTTAATACAGAAAATCAAAGTTCCAAAGTTTTTACCAAAGTAAATCAAAGTTCCAAAGTTTTCACTATTGAGTAAATCAAAGTTCCAATGTTTTTACATTGATAACTTTAGTTAACTATAGTTTACTATAGTATGTTCTTGTTAGGGACAGTCTCACGTTCGTACTCACCATATACAAGGGGTAATTCAGGGGAGTCATTAAAAAGAATGGGGGAGTCGTTTTCAGTGTATGGTGAGTAGATTTTAACCGCTTTGAAGTCAGAAGACATGCGCTTCATGTCTTTTTCCCGTATATGAAAGATGTTTTTTTTTCTTTTTTACAAAAAAAAAACCCCAACAAACAAAAAGAAAAAAAAACAAAACAAAACAAAACAAATAGCCTACGCAAGGTAGAAATAGTTCAGCTTTGTCTTGGTCATTTGTCCGGCTAGCATATATGTCTAGTTTTCTCAAACTAGGATCTTTTTTGCTGTTTTGACATTTAGAATCCCTACACGATTTGTAAATTGTGCAAATCATGCATTTTTTTACCGCTTGAACAACAATAATATGAAATCTGTCAAATAGTTTCGAAGTGTTTGAGAAAAATTGTTTAGCGACTCCCCCATATTACGCGTTGTATACGGTGGTACTAATGTTTATCTGCTGCAATGCGATAATGTGGATCGAACTGATGTCACTAGCGGATTTAAGGGGGGGGGGGGGGGCACTCATGATATGACTAATATTGATAATGCCGGTACATAACTAACCAAAACCACTTTTACTTTTTACTTCGTATTGTGCCTGGTTTTACTCTTTTAAGGTAGGATTCTTCTCTGGTTTCTGACTAGATGAACCATTCAAAGTACATTTGCTTATATGTCTTATATATTGAGGTGTAAGGAATTTAAAAGACCATATTTTTCTTTCCTCTTGACAATTGTACAATTTTAAATAGAAATGGTAAACTGCGTTTGAAAACTAGCAGGGACTATATTTTTGGCGGAATGGTGGCGTATGAAAATATCTTCTTTTCTGCCTCTCAAAATTATAATAGAACAATGAATTTAGTTATAATTTTTACACAATCGAAGACTTGGAGAAATTTTCAAATGTAAGTTAAATTAATAAAGAGGGACTAAACTTTCAAAATATATCAAATAAATATGATTTTTCAAACAAACTAGAACGTTGTTAGCTTTTAAACGCGTCCAATCAAAGTGAAGATTTGAGCCAAAAATCCATAAAAAGTATTTTTTCTCTCTTAGTAAACGATCAAAACTTTTTGTTTTTGTATCATCTTGTACATTTATAAGACTACTTTATTATATGTGAAAATAAGAAAAAGTTAAATATAGGAAGCATATGAAAATAACTAATATATCCTAAAAAATTAAGGAAAACAGAGAAAATTCGGATTAGCCAATATCCAGTTAAGTTAAATTATTAATGTAAACTTGGTAATATCAAGCTATAGACCCGATATAGTAATGTGTTTTTATGCAAAAAGAACAATCTTTAAACTTTTAAAAAAGATGTAGGTATCACATGATTGGCAACAGTATTTTTTTATTCTTAATGTCAAGGAAAAAGATAATGACCTTGACCTGACCTTGCCTCTAATATAAAACGGTCAAAATTAATTTCACTGATACTATCACTTACTGATATTTTCTTCTTGATTCTGTGAAAATTTCATTAATTTTTAAATATTAGAAATATGAGAAGAATCCTACCTTAAATACACGAAACCCAAGAGCTTTCGGGCGCTTCGCCCCCTGGGCCCCCGCCATTCAAAGTATGATATGACAAGTAATAATAATGTCATCATTTTTTTTTGTACATAACTAACTAATACCACCGTTTGTAAGTAAGTAAATCCTTTATTATTGTGACGTGTGTTATAATACAACACAACGAGAAACATTCAATACAATTAATTTTCAAAGAACACCCATACCTATATGTCACTTTAACAAAAATAATTGAAAAATATATGCACTATTATTGTGCCTGGTTTTACTCTTAAAAAACACGAAAACCCAGGAGCTTCCGGAGGCTTCGACTCCTTGACCCCCACCATTCAAAGTATGATATAACTAGTATTAATAATCCCGCACTTTGGTATATAACTAACCAATACCAATATTAGTAAATAAGTAAGTAAATCATTTATTTTAGTGGCATGTGTGTTAATACAATACAAAGAGAAATTATTATTTAATAATACAAACATCCGGACATATATGTCACTTTAAACAAAAATAATTTAATATGCACTATAATTGTGCCTGGTTTATCTCTTAAAATGCACAAAAATCCAGGAGCTTCCCGGGGTCTCGCCCCCTGGGCCCCAACAGGGCTTCGCCCTGGACCCACTGGGGGCCTCATGGCGGCCCCCAGACCCCTTGCCTCAACAACATTATCCCCAATCATAAATCCTGTATCCGCCCATGGATGTGAAGTAATGGTTTTATAATAATTAACTGTAGTTATCCTAGTCTTCTAATTCTCCACCAACACATTAAGAAATTGTAAATTTTCGTCATTCATCTCTAAAGTGAATTGAATTTTGGAGTTTATCCCATTAAGTACTGTAAACCAACTATAATTCGCGTCATCTTTTATTCGTGATTCGTGATTCTAAAATCAATCCGCGAAGATTAATTTCCTCGACCGAGGAAACATTCCCTTCAAATCCTTAGCAAAATGAATGGTTCGCGGCGAATAATAGCGAGTTAAAGAAGGTCGCAGAATTCGCAGATAAAAATTGTTTTACAGTATTTTGTGAAATTGCGTTAATTTATCCATAAGGAATTAAATAATGGCCTCATTAATTTTCTATTAAATTGAAAATTGTATGCTTTTTTTCCCTACATGTTTAAAGAATATTTTCATTTTTGTTTTTCTTTGAAGGTCATGTTTTTGACAAGGAGCAGATATTATTCGCATTCAGGAATTGGTTCAACAAGAATTACAAGAGCTCAAAAATGGTCCGACTGTATATAGGTGAGAAAAAATGTGGGACATTCAGATCAAACGAGAAAGTTATTGTGTTGGTTATTGACGATGTCAAGATTATTAAAGAAAAGATTTTCAATCATTCTGGAAAATCCTACCCTATTGTTTGCAAACTGTTTAAGTTTCCGTCTCAAGAAGGAGAAAAAGTGGCTAGCAAAGAACAAGACATTGAATTTGATGAAACATTCTATATAGATTCGAGAAACTGTATACGTAATCATTCAAGGAGTCTTTTTCAGAAACACTCAAATTTAGAGATGATAGGTGCATCTGCATATCGGTCTAAGAAAAATGGATGTGATATTGTTCCTGAACCATGCATCGTATTTTACTGCTCTTGTAAAGGAGTAAAACCGCTTGAGGAATCCAATTTTCCGACAACTGTCAACGGTATTAAGACCGATGTGAGGGAGGGATTCTTTTATCAATCCACGAACGAAGTATACTCTGCAAAGTCTGAGGAAGATATTTATCCATTGTTGACAGGTGCAAGTATTAGCTCAAAAGGTATTTCTTTTATTTGATCTACTTTTTAAAGAAATATTCAAAAACACCAGTTTTTTTTTTTTTTTTTTGATCATGTATAAATGAAAGTAACTATTTCTTTCTTTTTGTGAACTCGGTACAACTTGTGCGTTTAATAAATATAAATATGGAGATAACGAACAGTATTCAAGCACAAGAGTCCATCAAGGACAGATGACACAAACATTTGTTTTTCTTTGGAGGAGGCTTAATATCATCGAACAGGCTTAGAAAAGTGAACAGTTCTTTGATTTTTTGTTCTCCTTAAATTTGGAAAATAAAATAGGCTTGAAGATATTGGTTAATACTTCAATAAAATAACAAACTCTGTGCTCCGTGCCAGAATTATGAAAGAATGGAAAAATCCGTGTGTAATTATGGTCTAACAGAAATTATAAAAAAAAGGTTGGACAGCATTTGATTTTAGGATGGATAGTATTTGCTGAAAAGATCATTGTTTCTACAATTTGATTTGAGAAATTATGACTATAAACAAAACTGCTGATATTCTTGTTTCATCTACTTCTTTGTCAATAATTTCTCTCGTTTTAGAAATTGTTCATGAAAACCAACAATTTTTCCGTGTTCAGTAATTGAGACGTGAAAAAAGAATAATTAGATAGATTACACACTCAGTATATACTGGTCCCTGCGGGCAAAGCAGGAAACAGCATTATCTTTGTTTGTAATGCTCATTATTTAAATTGTATTTTAGAGAACTGGGATTTAATTCTACAAGTGGCTATCCAAAGGAAACCCATAGCCCTTTTTCT